CAACCATATTATTTTTATAATATTTATTACGAAATGAAATATAAACGAAAAAAAAGAAATATAATTTGCGTATATACTGAAGCAACACGTACCCTCGTAAATTGGCACTGTGTGTGAAACTCCATCACCGCTGTCTAGAACAATGCCTGTGGTGCGTCCTGAAGCGTAAAGCGATAGAACAGCTTGTATAGCGACATACATTGCCGGCGAATTAAATGTTTCAAACATAATTTGCGTCATTTTTTCTCGGTTAGCCTTAGGATTCAAAGGAGCTTCGGTCAAGAGAACAGGATGCTCTTCCGGAGCGATTCTTAACTCGTTATAGAATGTGTGATGCCATATCTTTTCCATGTCATCCCAGTTTGTTACAATGCCATGCTCGATCGGATATTTAACAGTTAAAACGCCTCTTTTGCTTTGTGCTTCATCTCCCACATAGCTATCCTTTTGTCCCATACCAACCATGATTCCCTGTACATTATTTCATAAACTTTGAAACAGTGTCATACTATGAACTTCTCTCAACATTAAGTGTTGCAATAACAAGTTATGATAAATATTATTTCATATAAAAATAAATGTACACATAAATAAATTTAGCTGACAGTTCATGGCAGGACAATTATATTTAAAAGATATTGTTAATTTTACCTGATATCTTGGTCTTCCCACAATGGAGGGAAATACAGCACGTGGAGCATCATCTCCTGCAAATCCTGCTTTGCACATCCCTGATCCATTGTCTACTACTAGGGCTGCTACATCGTCGTCACACATTTTAAACAAAAAATATTTATTTTTTTTCTCTGTTTCTCTGAAGCAGCAAGTAACTTATTTTATTTGACTAGATTTTGTACTGATCTGAACAGTGCATTGACTCTTGTAATATTGTTCCTGCTGAAGAATGAAGTTGTTTTATATTGATGCCCCCTCTTTTACTATCTCTGTGCCCGTATATTAAACAGTTTCTTGCACGTCAATGAACTAGTATACATTTAAGCTAATGTAATGAAGTAATTTTTGGATCTAACATATATTTTTACAATATGCAACAAATATTTTCATTGTCAGTTTCTAAATCCAACTACCATTTTATTATTTGCTACATTTGTTATATTGCCTTGCTAGAATTTAACCAAAGAAAAATTTAATATCAAAATTATTTAATTATAATTATATCAACAATTACATAGTTTCTGAAATCTGTATGACAGTTCTATACTTTAAAAAAATTTATTGAAATGAATACTTTTCAAAGAAAAAAAAAAGAATGTAATTGATTTTTTAATATATGTCACAATTTCACACAGAATTTATATTTTCTTGTTTCTTTGGCAATATTAAATTTTCCTAATTAGATACAATTTGAATTGTCATTGTATATTTCATTTATATTTATGAACAAGTAAATTTTATTTATTAATGTAAGCAAAAATCAACTTCTACAGAATGTGTTAAATGGAGCACAATTTATATAGTAAAAAAATATATTATTTATTGTATATCTGTGTATTTGTTTGTACATGGACGTGTTTAAAATTCTAACTTTGTGAATAGTATATTCTTAATTTTTTTATAACTTTTTTATATGTATAAAACATTAATAATAGAAGCAAACCTCCATAGCTCACAAATAATTTGTCTTTTATAATTTAGTGTTCTTTGTGTATTCACAACATATATATGTGTTACAGTTTAGTAAATATTTTAGTTTGAAATGTAATTTGTTGCAATACAATTAGACAGGTATATGCACAATATCTATTAAAGAATATCTTATTCAATAACTAAGAATTCTTTTTTAATTTTTTTTATATAAAAATTCGTAACAATATTTTAAAAAATGTGTTTATTTTTGCTTTAACTTTAATACATTTTACACATCTCCGATCCACTATCTACCACTACGCTACGCTGTATGTGTTTTACAAATTGCTTTATATATTTAATTTCGGTTGATTATATATAGAAAATAGAAATTTTAGTTTACTGAGCCTCCCAGAATTAACGCATTTTAGAGATTCACGGTTCCATAGAATGATCATTGTATAGAATCTCGTTACAATCGGTGTATTACATTCCTTAATTAACTGTTCGACTAATGCTTACAATTAGGCCGTGAAATTAAGCATCTGGTTTGGTTTTAATTTGCTGTATATCCTCTTTTCAATCGTTTCTTGAAATGGAAAAATGATGAAGAGTATAATTCTTAACTAAATTTATTGCAAATTATAAAATTTAGTATCATTTTTAGTTACATTTTACATAAAAATCATATCATGGAAACAAATAAATAACGTCACTTTCGTATCACTTTCCGTATTTCGTTCAAAACTTAATTTTCTTTTTAAATTGACTAGTTTTTAATCTCTGTATACAGGGTATTCACGGTATAATGGGCGAGCGAATTTTTTTCATAAATGATAAGTTTTTGAAAAAAGCGAAAGAATTATAATGTTTTTTTATAATAACATGTAATCTTTTTATGTAAAATGATGGTGCGCTCCAATTTTTTATATTTGCAATATTGTTCAAGTTATTAGATATAAAAAACATTACAACTTTTTTTTTTTACTTTTTTCAAAATTATCATTATCATTTATGAAAAAAATACTGGTCTCATTACGAAAAAAATGTGGACACCATATGTACAAATACTATAAAAATACAATTAACAAATTCATTTTTTAATCCATGAATTTTACTTATCCCAAAAACCAATTTCCTTCATTCTCGTTTGAAAATATTTTTCTAAAGCATTAGCACATCGATAATATTCAGTATCAGGACTATTGTACAAACGGCAATTAGTGAAAATTCGTGTCATGTCTGCAATAAATAATCTCCTCGTAACGTAATACCTAGCTTTCAGCCTATCAGTCATAGTTTTAAGATCTGGAAAACAAAATTTTTAATTTTTCTCTATTCCGACATGATTGTGATTTTGATTTTTTGTTCCACTCACCCATTGGATATTTAATATGATCGTAATAATCTGGCACCTCGTTCTTATCTACAGGCTTTAAAAATGGCCACGCGGTACTGTGATTTTTTACGCTATTTAAAACATTTTTTAACGCATTGTACAACGAGTCAGTAATATCCAAACACGCTTCCATTGGTTCTGGCCCTTGAGTTCCTTTGGCTACTCCTCTGGTTCTCGTCTGAGTGTAACTTTTCCAACCAGTTTCACGAATACCAGGAATAGATTCAACTGGAATTCCCCTGACACCTTCTTTGAAGCATGTCAAACCAGGATGAACTTTCTGTATCTCTTGCTGTCTCTGATGAATTAACTTTTTAATAATTTCTTTCTGCTTTCGTATGACAGCCGTAAATTCAGTATATACAATTTTTGCATTCAATTCACAATGCATCAGTGTTGCCCCTTCGTAATCTTTAATATATCCTTGATACATCGACCGAGGCAATTTTATGTCCTTGCTAAAACCTTGCTTCTTGAAATATCCGATTGCAAATTCGTCGGCAAACGTAAGGAAATGTAATATGTTGTTTTTTATATGATAGTCTTTGAGCATGTTCATTAAATGTGTACCATAACCTTTAACTTGTTCTTGACTTGTGACAGCACAAAATACTATTTCTGTAAAGCCCTGAGTGGGAAACATTCGAAAACAGATGCCACCAATTGGTCGGCCATCTTTTATCAGAGCTAGCGTTTTATGCTTTCTACAAACAAAGAAGAAAGTTACAATTATGACAACTCTTGAAATTTATTTCATGATACTCACGGATCAAAGACTAATTGAGAGATATACTCTTTTGGCATTCTAGGCAATTGATGACTAAATACGTTATGTAATCCAATCAACCAAAGCATTGTTTGTTTAGAAACTGGCTGCGTCAAACTATTTCCAACCACGTGAAATTCTATGATCTTTCTACTTTCCTCAATCTTCGCAGTTTCATCTCGCGGAACATTTGGAGGAAATACTGCATCGGGTCCGCACATATAATTGGGATCGTTAATAGTCGCTACAATTTCAGCAACTGTTTCCTCCGATAAATCTTCAAAAGTTTCCTCGTTCTTTCTTCTTTTCACATCTGAACGTCCTTCAGAATGTGATCTCTTTTCGTGAATTTTCTTCATTCCAGGGCTTATATTAATTGTCGTGTAATTATCTTTGTCATTTGGTGGTACTGTGACCTTCTCAAATTCACCTGCCCTTCTTCCTTGATTTGCTTTTGATTCCAACGCGGATTGTAAATAAGTGGGTGGCACTTGCTTGAAATCAGAGTCCCAAATTGGAGAATTATCCGAGTAAATCTCTGCTTCTAACATGGAGAGGAATCTTTAATTGAACAAATATATCAAATGTTAAATGATCATGCCAATTAATACAAATTAAACACAAATAAAGCAAAAACAAAAATTTCTACATACTTAGGGAAATGTGTTAATACTATTACTCTTTTCTCTGGAGCTAACTTATCTCGTTCACTGTGGCATTTATCCAACAACTGCCTAGAAACTGGCTTGAAAACAGCTTGTACAAACGTCCGTCCAAAAACCAAAGATGTGTCATAATGAGGCAAGGAATCACAGAATGCCGGTATATGACAAAATACAAGCCAACGGGTATGATTAATTTTATAAGCAGGAGCTTCTTCTACGCTGATTGTGCCTCTTCTGACACTAAGCGGGTCAAAATTCCAATGATTTAGACAATGTAGAAACATTTTTGCCATGTCACACATGGCCTGCATGTCTCTTTGTGGCAAGTGACCGTATTTGTAGGCAACAAAATTCATGACCGCTTTTGCTATACTAGGTCGTTCGAAGGGTGGCTGACCTAAAGGACCTTCTATCGTGGGTTTGGTCATAGATTGTATACACTTTCTTAAAAGTTTGTATAAGTAGAAATAAACTTTCTTTGTATCAGGGTCTTCTTCTTTCTGCAGTCCCAAAAAAATATTATCCGCGTCTATGACCATGCACAATAGCTTATTAATTTCTTCCTCAGACTGATTAGTTAAATGAGAAACATGATTTTCTAAGACATGCTTGCAACTTTTGCAAGGATCAAAGAAATTTATAACAGGCTGTTGCACGTCGTTTTTGGAAGACTTAGTTATCACCTGAGAGTTCTTCCAGCCAATGCACTTGCAATCATCAACCTTACACGCGCTGTATGTTGCAATTTTTAATATTTTCTTCATCTGTGGTAAATTTAACATCTGCTGCTTTCTCTGTTGTATTCTTTGCAAATTGTTCTGTCGACTGTTTTGCTCTTGAGGTCTGACTGCACTTGGTTCCCTACTGTTTCCTGCATGTTGCGACGTGCTAGTCACACACTGACCAGTTTCTTCTAGAGACTGTAAAGCTGAGTTGCGGTTTGCCTCCTCAGTTGCCATATCTTTCCTAAATGAAAGCCAAGAAAATTCATATGAAATCTATTTATGCCACAAAATGAAATATGCTATACAGAGAAAATGTAAATATCAAATTTATACTGTAATTATATAAATAAAAAAATATAAACAACTTACACTGTAAAATTATTCTATTATTGTATAAACCATCAATGCATTTACATGATTGGTCGTAAATAGTACGTCTAATATGATTAAATGTTATATATATACGCAACTAGAGAAAAGAATAATAAAATGACCATAACACCATTAGTTTTGTACGTAATGTACAATTCTTATTTACAATTTACAGTACTGCGATAAGCATAAAGGTTAAGAAATGAATTGAAATTGAATTGGACGCGTGGCGCCACCTATTCCCTAAACAGAGAATTAATCTTCTCCTTCTATTCAACTATTGAAGATACGAGTCCCATTGGTCAATGATTCACCGTCCGACAAGGTTCTGAAGTTCTGTTCCCGTGAGTACGAATCAATTTCTTTCTGTTGCATTAAGACAATACACATGGTACACAATTTTCAATGTATTATTGAAATCTTGCCATGAAATATTATTTCAGTTAAAATTTCGAACGACCGTACGAACGAGATTTTGATTGTACGCCCTGATTGCGTGACTCGTGCTCGATAAGTCGCAAGCAAAGGACTGCGTTTTCTCTTCTTTTTCGTGCAATATCAATCGTCTCGTATGTTATTTTCTGCATGATTTTCGAGATACTCGCATCTCCATTTCGTGGAAACAAGTAACTGTGCACTGATTACTCAGAACTTGATAGAGCGATAAAAAATTTCTAGGAACAAATTAACCATATTTCAGTTTCAGTTTCATATATTGGCTACAGTACACAATATCAGAGGAGATTTGAGAAGCATAACTGTTTCCCCGTTGGTGCAACAAATCACAAAGAAAGAGAAATAACGTTACAAAAACTATGGCCACATGGGACGGTTCTCATTTGGGACCGGATGACGAAGACTATTACCAAATGTATGCTGATCAGAATGCACCCGGGCCTGCGTCAAGAAATTGGGCATTATTCTCTGATAATATGAGTCATAATTATTTACAACAAAACGAACGCATGTTTGAACAGAATAGACCAAGTACCTTCTATCATTCGAATGTGAATGTTATGCCAAACTTGATGGCTACGACTGCTAGTTATGAGTATGTAACAAATCCAATGAATACGCATGCATTAAACAGTCATGAGTACTATCCGCATGTTGTCAAATCTGAACAATGCTATTTGTCTGATGTCCCTTGGAATTGCGATAATGACTTGGCAGATAGAGACAAGTATGATCGTACGAAAAGAATTAAAGAACCTTTGGACAATATAACGAGTCACTCACAATTACACGTTATGGCTGAGGAGTTTGTGCCAAATAATAGAGAGTACGATGATAGAAGCAAAAATAATGAATCGCAGAATGTAAAATGTATTAACAATACAAATTCTTGTGTCCAGGATAGTAACAAGATATCGGGTAAATATTTTGTTTACAATATGAATAGGCATGATAAAAAATACAATAGCAAAAAGAGTCCCAATGGTAAACACAAAGAAAGACAGTGTTACAAAGAAGACCAGTGTTACAAGAAGTATGCATATGCAAATTACTATCAGCAAGATGTCAGAGCTCATAAGCTTCAAGGTAATAAGTACTTTATTAATAAGCATTATTCAGGAAACTCTCAAGTAAAATCGAAGTATACAAATGAGAATGCATCAGATGAATGTCCAAATAATGATGTTGCTTGTAATAGTAAAGAAGATTATGCAACAAATTCGAATAATGGAGAATCGTCTTCAAATGTAAAAACAATTTCAAATAGAAATAAAAATTTATCAAATAAGAATAATAATGAAAGAATTATTATTGGTGATAATAACGTGCAGGATAGTAATGTACAGGATAATAACGTGCAGGATAGTAATGTACAGGATAATAACGTACAGGAATCCAATGATCTAGTTAAAGAATTTACTTACTATAACTCTGGATTAAAACAGACCTACAATAATCATAGAAATGTAAAGAGATATCAGTACAATGATAGATATAATAGGGAAGCAAATTTTTATAAAGAAAGGCGACATCATTATCAGAGATATGGGAGAGAAAATTATGGTAAAGAAGATAGATTTAAAGCGAAAGATCAAACATGCAGTAACGAAGAATGTAATGAATACAAAGAATGTTTCAATGAGGAAACTGGGTTAGATGCAAAAGAAGCAATAGAGAAAAGGCACAATTATCAGCGATATAATGCATTTAAGGAACATTACAAAGGTAATTTTGAAAATAAATTGGAAATTTTGAAAGAGAAAGATAGAGGGAAATTCTATGTATCTGAAAATAAAGAAAAGGAGAATGAACATTGGAGAAGTAGAAGGAAAATTAATGAAAGAAATAATATTTCAAAACGAGGACATAATAAAAAATCACTTGTTGGTAAGTGTATATATATTCCTACAGTCCTATATTGCATTATATTTTTAATGTAATAATAATAATAATAATTTTATTATCTTATCATACAGATAACGATGCAAGTCAGAGAGAAAGATTAGCAGAACAACTGAATAAAGGAGAATTGGAATGCTTAGTGTGTTGTGAATATATTAAACAGAATGATTATACTTGGTCATGCTCCAATTGCTATCACGTATTTCATTTAAAATGTATTAAAAAATGGGCAAACTCATCACAAGCTGGTAAGTAGTTGATTAGTTGTAACCTGGAAAAAATCTTTTTATTAAAAAACTGTAAATAATTTTTTATATACGGTTTACATAGAGAATGGTTGGAGATGTCCGGCATGTCAAAATGTTAGTTCAATAATTCCTGAGGATTACTTTTGCTTTTGTGGGAAAGTGAAAGCACCTGAATGGAATCGTAGAGATATTGCACATTCTTGCGGCGAAGTTTGCGGTAGAACATTATCAAAAGATGATTGTCCACATAAATGCACTCTTTTGTGTCATCCAGGATCTTGTCCACAATGTACAGCAATGGTAACAAAGTATTGTGGCTGTGGTAGAACTCTACAAACAGTACAGTGTAAAACTCATAAATTATTGAAGTGTGATTCTATATGTGGCAAAGATTTAAATTGTGGTAGACACAAATGTCAAAGTAAATGCCATTATGGAGAATGTGCAAAATGTGAAAAAACAGTAGAGCAAGGTACATAGTTTACATCCAGTAGAATTCTATTTATATGAATTTTTTATATGATTGGAATTCATATTCTTTCCTCCACTAGTGATTTTTCTTTCATATAACAAGAGTTCAGATTCAAATAAGTAGAGTTAACTAGCAAGACTTCATTTAATCAAATATTGACTAAAATTCAGTTCAAATAAATGGATTTCACATAAATGAAATTCTATTGTGATGTAATTTTAAATTAAAGTATTAAATTAGATTTTGACGATGTATTTATTTTTAGAATGCCATTGTGGGAAATTTTCAAATGTATTAACTTGTGAGAGTTATATTCCACCTGCATATTCTTGTGAGGTTGTTTGTGAGAAATTGTTGGAATGTGGTAATCATATTTGTACAAAATTATGTCATCCAGGGGCTTGCGAACCTTGCTCTTTGGCTCCTGGAAAAATTACAACTTGTTGCTGTGGACAAACACCATTACCAGATAAAAGACAAACTTGTTTAGATCCAATTCCTGTCTGTGACCAAATATGTTCGAAAAATTTAAATTGTGGACCATCTGGTGAGTATTTCAAGAAAATCCATGGAATTCCTGATAAAATATGATAAAAATTTATAATGTAATATATTGTCTACAGATAACCCTCATAATTGTAAAGTAAAATGTCACGTAGGAGATTGTTCTGTTTGCGATTTAACCACCAATGTTAAGTGTCGTTGTGGAAACATGGATAAAGAAATAGCTTGTAAAGATTTGGTATCGAAAGCTGATGTACGATGTGAAAAGAAATGTTCAAAGAAAAAGTCTTGCGGCAAACACAAATGTAATAAACGATGTTGTATAGAAACAGAACATGCTTGTCCAGTATTCTGTCCAAAAACACTAAGCTGTGGAAAGCATCAGTGCGAACGAAATTGTCATAAAGGTATTTAATTATGTTACAGTTATCGATTAAATTTGATGTTAAATTATATAATAAAGTTGAAGAAACTAGCATTTTTAGTAAGAAGGAAGGATTGAAAAAATTAGTAGATCGATATGTACTCTTAAGTCAATTTTGATTCACTATTGTATATCAAATATAATTTAATATCACAATGATATAAAATTATGTTAATATAGGAAGATGTCAACCTTGTTGGCGAACTAGTTTTTACGAATTACGCTGCGAATGCGGAGCTTCTGTGGTGTATCCTCCTGTTCCTTGTGGAACAAGAAGACCTACGTGTGACAAACCATGCTCTCGTCAGCATTCTTGTGGCCACGAAGTATTGCATAATTGCCATAGTGAACCAAATTGCCCACCTTGCACTGTTCTTACTCAAAGATGGTGTCATGGCAAGCACGAGTTACGCAAAGCTGTACCATGTTATGTTGACGAAATTTCATGTGGCTTACCTTGTAACAAGCCCATATCTTGCGGTCGGCATAAATGTATTACTACTTGTCATTCCGGACCATGTGAGAAACCGGGCCAACAGTGTACTCAACCTTGCACTGTTCAAAGAGAAATGTGTGGACATATCTGTGCTGCCCCGTGTCACGAGGGTAAATGTCCAGATACACCTTGCAAGGAAATGGTTAAGGTAATCAATTCAATTTGTTCTTAAAACAATATTCACAATTTGATGATGCGTAAGATTTTTACAATTAAGTTTGAAGTTTATATCGATATATTGGCTAAGTTACTAATAAAAATCTTTTCATACACAGGTGACGTGTCAGTGTGGGCATAGGGCCATGTCACGTGTTTGTGCCGAAAATTCCAAAGAATATCAAAGAATAGCAAGTAGTATATTAGCCAGTAAAATGGCTGATATGCAATTAGGTCATTCCTTTAATTTGGAAGAAGTGTTTGGCCAAGGAGTAAAGAAGCAGAATCAATTAAAAACTTTAGAGTGCAACGATGAATGTAAAATAATAGAACGAAATAGAAGATTAGCGTTGGGTTTGCAAATTGCAAATCCGGATTTAAGTGGCAAATTAATGCCTAGATACAGTGATTTTATGAAACAGTGGGCTAAAAAGGATCCGCATTTTTGCCAAATGGTCCACGAGAAATTAACGGAATTAGTTCAACTAGCAAAGACCTCTAAGCAAAAATCACGCAGTTATTCATTTGATAGTATGAATAAAGATAAACGTCATTTTATTCATGAATCTTGTGAACATTTCGGTTGTGAAAGTCAAGCATATGATCAAGAGCCAAAAAGGAATGTTGTTGCGACTGCTGTTAAAGATAAGGTAATGAATTTTTTTATGTTTAACTAATACGATTAAACACATAATTTAACTTTCCGATTTTATGTTTATTACAAATTTATTACAGTGTTGGTTACCTAGCTATAGTTTATTAGAAATTGTGCAACGGGAGAATGGTCAGAGAAAAGTTCCAGGTCCAATGTTAAATACTACAAAACCTGATGGATCTGTAAAGTAAGTGATGCTGTATAAAATAGTTTATTTAAACCTAAAACTAAATTCTTTCATATTTTTAAATAAATCAACGATAGGTTTATATATTTATTTCAAATTGTTTATTTGTTCATTTCAGGACAATATTATCACTGCCTGCGAAGAAATTTCAAAAATCAGAAACGCCATTAACCATAAAAACATCAGAACCAGAAATAGATTATTTTGATTATAAAGGCTAAAATTAGACTATATCTCTATACTATGTAAGGGGATGTAAAATAAAGTGTAAGTAATATAAGTAATATAATTAATACTATAGTTAATAAAAGTACTGTTAAATATAATTGATTGAGTAAACATTTTAATAATACTTATTCTTTATAACATTTACAATAACATTTTTTTGAATTAAATTTAAATACAATCATCAATTAATTGGTTAACACTAATGGAAACAGAGAATCAATTTAGTTTATTAGTTAGGCTGTGTATGTATAATATATATACAAAAATATATACAAAATTTAAATGTGAATGCAAAAAAAAATATATTTGTTAATTAATGAATTTTATTTTAATTCTTATAATCTTTCTCCAGACAAAATAAGTACAATTACATTTATATAGATAATTATAATGATTTTATAATAACATTATGAGTATAATAATATTTCATTACTATTAAAAATTATATTTTTAAGGTTTACTGAGCATGCAATAGAAAACAATTTTCTGATAAAAATTACTACAATATATGATACTATTAATAAAATAAATAGAGTAAAAAAAAAAGTATTTTATTCTATTTTAATTTAACTTTTTGCTTTTATACATTACTCGAATTTTGGTAAATTTTCTACCTAAATGTATAACCATACGTAACATCTGTCATACTCCATGAAATATTTAAGGAATTAAAGAAGTGAGGGAAGTGATATTTAAATTAATTAAATTTCTTTGTTTTGAACTTTTATTATTGCGTAAAATTTGCGTTAAACTTTAGATGATAGAATAGGTTTTTTTTTTTTTAATAATCTAACCTTCGTCGATAAAAATAGTGGTTTATTGTGTACTATTAAGATGAAACAGTACCGATCAGTATAGTTAAAATGATATCAATCATTACAGTACATACACTGGATTGTATATAAATATCGATTTATATTAATAATTCTAAAGGATTAATTTATATGAGTCAATCTTTGTAATCATTAAATATCCATAACATAAGTATTTGGCACATCAAACATTTATCTAATATGATTTTCCTAAACAAATAGTGAGACCTTTCATGCTTGTGTAAGTATGATTATTTATTTTGCTCCACATTTTATGATGTATTTTAATACTGATATACTTAATTCTCCAAACCTAAGTTTTAAAAATATGAGCACAATAAAAAGAATAATTGTTTTAAAGATACAACAAAAGAATTTTGATTGAATATTTCATATATTAAAATTGCAAAATGCATAGGTTGTGTTTTATCTCTCTCGCGCTCACATGCACACACACAAGTATTATTTTTATTGAAACGTTTCAGTCATCTTTAAATAATAATATCACCGTTTCACGATAATTAATATTATTAAAAATATAAAAATACGTTAATATAATAATAACTAATTTCGTGATATAGTTATATTATCAAGTGATACCTGCTGTTACTAGAACCTTAATTATGAAAACTATTTAATTTAAAAGAACGTAGTACATACATTGAAAAAATTTATGTAAAATTAAGTAGTAAATATATTAACATGTAATCTTTTACTAATAAATAATAAAATTTTCCAGTCTCTTATCTCATAAGGTACGTCGTTACTTGACACTTACATAAGCGTAAAATGGTCTCCTATTCTAGACACAATTGCATATCACATATAGGATCACAACACTGTTACAGTTTGCAGATAAGTTAATTACACATTAGTTACAAAGATCTCTTGTTAAATGTTTGTTAAATTTTCAATAGTAGGGCACTTTGAACTTGAATTGATATTATTACTATTAATTCTCAATTGGTGCATTAGATAAGTGGACTAAAAACTCTTTATTTATGAGTGGTTTATAACTACTAATACAATATCTTTTTATATATAGATTTCAAGTTTTTCTTTTCAGAAACAATAGCTCTATTCTAAAGATTCATTATTCCGTACAATATAAATATTCTTTTTCTTAGTCAATCTCTGACATAATCTTTCTGAATGGAACAGAAGGAATTAAAAACATTATCAAAATAATGTATTCAAAAACTAATCTAATTTGAAGAATAAAAACATTTTCCACTCAAAATATATTCTTTAGAAGAATATGTCTTGTGTAAAATTTCTCTTTAGAAATATAGTGTATAGTATACCTTTATATTTAAGTTAGAAATGAATATAGCATATCTTAAACACGAGACATACTGAGCATATTAATCTATTGCTATATTCATTTTTTGTTTTTTACTTTTTCTATCAATAAAATTAGTATTCTTAGTATTCTTTCATTAAGTTTTTAAACTAAACTTAAATTTAGTATTTGTAGACTAATGCTATTTATTTTTTAAAATGATTATGTATTCTTTTCTTCTTCCTTGTAATATTATAAATTAATCAAATGTCATTATTTTTATGAATTTTAGAGCACAAAGTCGAATAAAATAAAATATTTCAAAAATATTCAGTTTGATTGTTCAATTCATTGATTCTCAACATCTTATATAAGGATCATATTGCTTCATATATAAGGGTTATTACCTCTTTTCACATGTACATTATAATTAGGGTAACTGCTTAAATATTGATGTCGTGGGCTTACTGATGGTTGCTTGGTAATACTCGCCATTGCCCAGCCCATGATCAATTCTAAACCTCTGCACAAAGTTTGATAGATAAACCAAGGCCATGGTTTAGGATATTGTGTGACAGTTAGTTGCGAACCATATTTCACAGTTTCAGCTAAAAGCCCTGTAGTAGAAAAAAAAAATTCTTTTCAATTTATTTTCATCCCTTCCTTTTTATCTTTCCAATCAAATTTATTATTACATATTTATAATAGTCCTGTATTTAAAATATTTTGTAATATTAAATTACCGTACGGTCCGAAAATACGTGCTACATCTGTAATGCATAAAATGATTCCTAAAATCGCAGTTGCATATGTTACATTTAATACTTTTCGAATTTGCGATCTTCTAACTGCCGCTGTATTTGCTTCTAACATATGTAAAGGTGTGTCGGATTTAGTTCTATTGACGTATGCAATATGATGTAATATTGAATTAAGCGTAAATTCATTATTCTGCGAAAAATGTAAAATAACGTGATAGAATAAAAAGAAATTATTAACAGGTAAATATAATCGTTTTGATATTAAACATTAAAATGAAATAGAAATACCCCAATTTTTCCATCAATCTTGGTATTTTCGGGAAGCAAAGTAGTTTCGACAGTGATATCCTCGACATCTTCATTCTCTTTCTCGTTTTTCCAAGATAAGTTCTTCTTTCGTACTTTTCCATCATTATCTTTATCTTTATTCTTTTCTGTCATCAGGGCTGCTTTCTCACTACAATCGGGTTGATCCGAGTCAGATTCAGATTTTTCTTGTATCTCTATTTTCTCAGGAACTATGTTACGACCGTGAGTTGGACTTCTGCTCAGGGTTCTAATACTAATCTCGCTACTTTGACGATTTAAATCCAACGGCTTGACTTGTGCGAGTTCCGAATTACGTCGAAAGGAAATATCGGAATTTCTACGTAGCTCAGCTCGAGGACTAAAACCGCTAATATCTGAATTGCGTCTCGAGCCTGAAATACAATCCGGCTAAATGTTTGTTTATATCTGGATTAATAACTTGACGTTTGGCTTTTTATTATAGTCTACCTGTTGGGCTTAGATTCAAGACTTTTGGCAATTTATGATGGTCAGTTGGAGGTAACATTCGCCTCGGTGTTCTGTTCCCAAAATCGCTATTCCTTTTCAATTTAGCAGCAAACTGAGAACTTCGATTCTTCTCGTGAGAAAAATCAGAGCATCGTCTTAAGTCTCGAACGCTTCCTAAAGGTGTTACATTCTCCGAGTATCTTCGAGAGATTCTGTCCGGAGAGCGTCTCCTGTCAATCTCGGGCGAATGTTTCGGACTAAAGTCAGAATTACGTCGACATTCCGATGTGAAACCGTCCTCCTCGTTTATGAATCTAACACTGCATTCTGAATTTCTGCGAGAAGATTTAGATGCGTCGCTGCTTCGTCTACTAGCTACGGAACTTCTACGGCTTGGACTCGATACTGTTATTATAGGTAAATTAGTTGTCGATGGCGTAGGGGTCGGAGGTCTGACATATACTTCTGGTACTGTTGACATGGGAACTGTTTTCTCCTCTTGGGACGACATACTCTTACAAGAAGATTTGTCACATTCTTTTTTCTCTTGTTCCTCTTTTTCGACTATTTTCATAAGTCGATCTATAATGTTAAAATAAAGAAATAAAAAAAAAAGTTTTACAAAATATAGCTTTTATGCTTGTATCTTTTTATGTTTTACCTTTAGGATTTTTCTCAGGATCATTTGTAAAAGTTGCAGGTTCTGTTATTTCTGCATCCTTTATTTTGGGATTGAGCAAAGTAGGTACTAAGGCAGCAGCAACAGATGATGCTAAGTTATTGTAAGGAGCTAACATTGCCAATTGCATAATACCTAAAATGATACTCGATTGGTTAATATGAAATATTCCTTTGTAAATGATGTATCATTTAAATAAATTATTTACATGATATCTTCTTTATTGTCATGATTTTAAATAAATTGATGTTAGTTTACAGAAACAAACCTTTCTGATGTGTATTAGAACTATCTCTCATTAACATACTACTTGGCACAGTTTGCAGTAAATGAATTATCTTATATCCTGCATGCAGGAATGTTAAGTATAGTAAGATACTCCAGATAAGGAACACTGTTTGGACCACATATTTTACCATATAACAGTTGTGGGAGATAAGAGCAATATCACTAGCAATTACAAAAAAAAAGTGTCCTGTTATGATTAAGCTAAGACAAGATTCTTTTTGAATTTTTTCTGGTCCAAATTTGAGCTGAAAATATACATATTTTTTTGTTTACATATATGAAATTAATATTATTTAATACTTAGCTTCTGTCAGAGTATTACAATTACCTGAGTTAATTGCAAAAAAGCCAGTTGTATAAGACTAAAGGCAGATGTTACACATGGAAATCCAATGTCCCACATTATGGATCCAATAATTTTGGGCATAACATCTTTAAGATTGTAGGGATCTATGAAGAGACATGCTGCTCTTGATGCTCCAAGTATACATAAAAACATATTAATTGTAGACATAAAAGGCCGACTTGATATGAGTGATCTAAAAAAAAAAAAGAAGATATAATGTCTTTCGATACTTCTGTAATTTTGTATCTCTGCTATAGAATTTAATATCATACCTTAAATGTAGAATAGATAAAAATGTGTAAAATGAAAGTATAAAGAAGAGACAGGCAAAACCATATGTGTGTAAAAGAAAAATCCATTTTAACTCTTGATTTATTGATATCAATGACGGAGTAATGATTAGTAATTTGTCTAAAATTGAAGATGTTGACAAGTTTGAGACACAATTTTGCCCAGATATTGGTGTTGCTAATGATACATTTATACCTATTGGTAAAGCAGAAGCGATTAAATCATTATTAGATATAAGTTGAAGAATAAGAAATAATTATAAAATTGATTTTTTTTTCTTATTATGTCACATCTGATGTTTAATCACACCTGTTATGGAGAATTATCTCCATATATATATTTTATATATATATAT